AAGAAAGTTTTATTTACTTAAGAAATATGCTTTATATTTATTGTGTAATATGTATGTGGAGTAGAGGGTGTCACATTTAGTGGTATCAGAGCCAAGTTGATTCAAATCGGACTTGTGCATTATGTGTTCATTATGATTTTGTTGTGTACTCTAATGGTGTTTTTCTGTGTTGTTAATGATCTTTTTGACTATGTTTTTTCTCAGTATATGGCTAGTAGACATGATATAGCTTAGCTAATGCTATTTTTATTCCCATGATTGCTTAATTGTTTTGATACTTCTTTCCTACTTAAGAAAAAGTGGTTGGGTGGTATCACTCGTGTTGTGAGCATGTGTGCGGTTAGTAGTTGACGGAGTATTGTGCTAATCAACTAGAACTATTGAAATTTTGGATGTGGTTGAAACATTGATTTATTGAATGTATTAAAACTTTATTGTCAATGGAATTTTAGAAATCTATAGTTGTGGGAATGAATTCAACGAGGTTGCATGTTGAAAAGTGAGATTTTGGAATTCTTAATGAGAGACTGAAATCTTGGTGATTACTTTGAGTTTTGATGTTTGTTGTAACACCCCAATTTTTATTTCACTTTTATTTATTTTAATTGAGGGTATTTTGGTAATTTTATAAAGGTATAGGGGTGATTTAGTAGCTTGGAACGGGCTGTTCCGGAATTGAAACGGGCCGTTCCAAACTACCAAAATGTATGTTAGTTCGTAGCCTAGAACGGGCCGTTCTCAAGTTGGAACGGGCCATTCTGGACTATTAAAAACTGCGTTAAACTCTATGTGGGAACTGGCTTAGAACGGGCTATCGCAGTTGAGTAATAAATGCACACTAGAACGGGCCGTTCTGGTTTGGGAACGGGCCGTTCTGGGTGTGATTTTTACCCATGTTTTTATGGTCCAGAACGGGTCGTTCCAAATTTGGAACGGGCCGTTCCGGCGAAGTCTGAGGCCTATAAATTGAGCTCTCTGCCACTTTGAAAAGGCACACCTCTCATTTTCTGATTTCTTTTCTTATGCTCTCTCTTCTTTTCCCTCTACTTTTTTACTTCAGACCGAGGGGAACCCAGCGAGGGAGACCAACCAGATCTCGTATAAATTCAGCTTCTACATATCCAGGTACGGGGGAAAAGGGGATTATTTATATGTAGAGTTACATGAGGGAATTGGGTAGAGGAAGAGCCCTTAGAGTTATGAGTAATTTTATAATTATTTCTGTTTGGAGAATTAATTGTCTTATGTAATTTTGTATATATCTAGGACTACGAATATATGATTTGTTTGTAAAAATGATGCTCTGGGAGAGAGAACGAAATCATAGAAAAGTGCCTGTAAGTTAGGTTTTGGGAAAAATTAGATTATTTCTGTTTGAGAAATTGATGATCCCATTAGATTCTGCATGTGTTGAGGATTAGAAATATATATTTAATTTGTAAGAATGTTGATCTGAGAGGTAGAACGAAACTGTAGAAAAGTGCCTGTGAGTTAAGTTTTGGTATAATTGGGGGTTTTACTGTTTATGTTAAAATTATATTAAATTGATAATTCTATTGATTATTTTATTAATTTATGAATGTTATTGTTTTATCACTTGATAAAAATTGATGATTTAGATGTGAATTGCTTGAGGTGTATTAAACCCTTATTTTGTTGGACTTATCCGTTGTGTGTATGTTATTGAGTTATAAGATGAGATGTGATGAATGTGAATATGATTATGATTGAGGTTGCTCACACTAATAACTAGGGATGGCACGGCCACTGGGTAAGTGATGCTACAGGGAGGGCGTGACCCTAGCATGGTGTGGGATGAGTAAGACAGTTAACACGTATCACTTATGTCGAATATGGTAGCCCTGGCATAGGGTTAATTGCAAGAGATTGTGTGGATTGTCATGTGATTGTGGTTCCTCACATCAATGACTAGGGATGGCACGGCCCCTGGGTAAGTGATGCTACAGGGAGGGCGTGACCCTGGCATGGTGTGGGATGAGTGAGGCAATTAGCCCGTATCACTTATGTCAGTTGTGGCGTGGCCTTGGCATAGTGTTAATTGTAAGATTGTGTGAATTATGAATGTGAAAATGATAAT